TTGTAGTCGGCTTTGGACTTTATGGATCTTATTTCGGACCTACTGAATACGAAGTACATTTACAAGTATGTATAATTCTTGTCTCATTTGTATTGCAAATATCTGCACTTTTCATATAACTAGCTGTCGCCCGCGACTCCGTCTGCACTGGAAAAAAACACTTAATTAGTAGCTTATGTGTTCTACCAGACTGTTCTAGATCTGTGCCAAATTTCATCGAGATCTATCCAGCCATTCTCAAGATACCTTCTAACAAACATCCATCCAAAATATAACATTGAAATAAATTACTTGTCTCTCAGGTGATCCATTTAGCTACAAAGAAGGTGTGTGGTTCAAATACGACGACGTTCTGTTGTGATGGCACAGATGATACCTTCCGTGCCATGTTCAAGGAGCCCGTTGAGATCTCACCCAACACTTCATATATAGCCAGCGCCAAACTTAAGGTAATATTTGTTTAACTTGTAGCAACTCACACCTTCTACCACCCCTCCAGAAAATCTTAAATATAGTCCTAAATGGATAAGCGAGAAATTGGTATAAGTCTGTCGTTGTTCAGTCCGGACAACTATTGTAAACGAGAAACTATGGTATGAGAGAAACCTATGTAAGCGAGAAAAATATTGCAGTTTCTTAGACTCTCGCTTATCCAGGTCTGACTGTATATCCTATAATTGATGACCTCCTTGTGTAGTCTTAAAAAAGAAGTATGAAATTTACCCTAAGATTTTAAGAGCTCTTACAATTTTTTACTTAATAAAGTGAATCCGTGAGGCTAAGCGGCAAGCTGAACTTGTAAACATACGATATATGATTCTACTTAAACCAAATACAGTATAATCTCACTAATCCGGCACTATTAGAAACGGGTGCCGGATTATTGGAATGTTCGGATTACTGGATTATAGTGGAAAAGTCATAAGTAATGTAAGAGTTGAGTTTGCGTTTATTTAACATTTTTACCTATAAATTATTCTCAATTGAAAAATTACTTTTGAGGTTAGACTGCTAGTCAACGACGAAGTGATCGAAGCGCACAAGTACAGGGTAAGGGAGGTGTGGGCGGAGGGTACCGGATTAGTGAGATTATATTCTACTCATAAAACACATGGCATGTATTTTCCATACTAGCTTTAACAACATGTAAATGGAAATTCCGAATATAAATGTACGGACCGTCCCCAGGGAACAGACTCGTACTACGGCACGAAAGGTCTCCGGCGCGTCACGGTTGACGGCAATAATGGCGAAAAGATCGTTTTCCAGTTTTCATACGCCGCTGGCAATAATAATGGGACATCGGTTGAGGACGGACAGATACCGGCCATCATTTTTCACATATAAAATAGGCTTACCCCCACAGCCGCGCCCAGCCTCCACTCATGATTTTATCAAATGTCTCTTGTGTGTATGGTGAACGAATGACTGAATGATTTCAAATATACATCTTCTGTATCCTAGATTACCTCAAGAGCAAAGGTAACAGAAACCATAGTTATGCAATGTCTTGAATGTCTGACCGAATGATTGAATGGTTTGAAATATACATCTTGGGTATCTACGATTTTGTCCAGAGTAAGAGTAACAGAACTCGATGTATTTTGTGTATGGTGAATGAATGACTGAATGATTTCACATATGCGTGTCTATTAGATAACGTCAAGACAATGTAGTAGAAACCGTAGTCGTGTCCTGTATTTGTGAACGAATGATTGAATGGTTTGAAATATGAGTTAGTCTTCCGTGCTTTAAAAACGCTGTGGGGTGAAAAAATAAAAACTGTAGCAATGAATGATGAACGAATGAATGAATGGTGAAGAAAGTGTTATTTAATAGTTCTCTTCTATCTTTGAACAAGTCATGGGGATCCTCGTTCATTCTTATCGAATGTAAGTTTGGTAATTGAATGAATGAACGGTTGTGGTTATGTTGGGGGGAAGGAATATAAATAAGTATAAAACGTTACTCTGTCTTCTTTCTTTTCTATAATCTATTTCTTAGTTAAATTTCTATATTTACTTGATAAAATGTCTCTGTAAATTTGTTGAATTAACAAAATTAATGGTCACAAATATATACCTTATTACATTTAGTGTTATAAACATAATTATAATAGTATAATATATTTAAATAGTGAAAATAATAGAAAATAAACCTATCTTTTAAATCTGTTATAAGATTTGTATATAAAATGTATGGTGAATGAATGAAATGAATGATTTAAAAATAGCGTAATTTTTTTCCAATTTGAATGCAACCTCTTTTTAACTAAATATTATATATATATCTACATGAAATTGAATATTTTAAATGTTCTGTAAAACAATTTAACCTCAAACTAACTAAAATTGGTAAGTTTTTTTTTTTAAATTGTTAATCGATGAAAATGTTAATGTGTTTTTATTTAATTTATGGTGCTATTTAATTCTAGTGCGGGACACTTTATAATAATATTTTATTCTTGTTTTACCTAATTTATAATATGTCTTATTATAATTAAATACTAAACTGTAAAAAACTATAGAAAATTTTAAAACAAAATGAAAAAAAAATGTTAGTTAATAAAACAGCATGTTATTGATTTCTTTGTCTCTACATACTATGAGATATTTGTTATATTATAGTATTTATATAAATAAAAGCATTTTACAAATAAAATTATAAAATATTATGCAATTTCCACTAAGCAATTAATCACCGCACGCAACAGGTTTATGTAAGAAGATTTTGTTGATAAAAAAGACAAAATCGTATTCAGTTGCGCGGCCAAGAGATTAGTGGAAATGGACACTATCAATTAGTTATTTAAAATTATGTATTTATATGTTTTGTATATAATCAAATAGACTTAATATAGATAAGAATTTTTGCGTTTTTATAGTAGAAGTTATATAATATATTTAGAAATCTTTAGTAAGTTAAAAAAGGCGGGAACTTTATCGAACGTTAGTATTATTAAAAAAGACATAAGCAATTTTATAATCTAGTTGATGTAGTTTTTTCTTCCTAGTCTTAGTATAGTGTTTTTAATTATTCAGCAAATATGAAAGTAATAAAAGATCTGTATTTTTTCTAAATTTTGTATTATAATATATATATATATATATAGATTAATTGCTGTTCGTTAGTCTAGCTAAAACTCGAGAACGGCTAAACAGATTATCACGGAAGGTTTAAAAGGTGTGAAAAATTCGAATAATTGCCGGCAACTTATTAAGGTTTTTTTTTTCATTCCACGCGGACGGAGTCGCGTGCGACAGCTTGTTTGTAATAAAAGTAGTTTAAAGAAATCGTTATCAATAATTAAAGTCTTAAAGCTTTTGATGTGGATAGATTATAGATTTTAAGTCTGTAAATGTGTGTTGTTAGTAAAATAGTGTTGAAAAAAGTATTTATGCCAAAAGAAATAATTAAAAAACTAATATTATAATAATGAATGTGAGAAAAGATAGTTATCAGAGATAAAATAGGAAAGTAAAGCATAGCTTGTCCTTTATAATATTAAAGTTATAATAAAAAATTGTAAAATGTTTAAGTGTTTTGAAAAAAAAAGTTTGTGTAAATCTAAGGAACTTATCGTGGGTTTCCGAGACGAAAATCTCTGTTTGAAATACATTGGTGTCTGTTTCGTCAAATATGACAGGGATGTTTAATTCGGATTTTAGTCTTAGAAACCCACGGTATAGACTTTTATTTTTAATTCTATGTTTTACAAATTTTCCAGCGTTTTCCTTATTAAGATTTTTCAACAAATTAATCCTTGTGAAAATTCTTTTGCATCTCTTCCATTAAAAGGTAACCTTTCTAATAATTTTTTCTACTCCTATGTTTTTTTTTGTAATTAGTCAAAAATATGATAAATAAATTTATATGGATTTAACTAGTTTTATATTTCAATATTTAATCTGTGATAGACAAAATAATATTTAACAATAGACACAACAAAGAATATACTAAAAAATTTACATTTCATTTGCAAGTAATGAGATAAAAATAGACGAAAAAACATTTAAAAAATCTCAACTTCAATGACAATGTATTACAACGCCATCTTACGAAATTTAAAGGTACTAAGCATTGGTTATAACGAAAGTAGTACTATAAAAACCTACTAGATGGCGTTATAAAATACTTATAAGTACGCGTCTAGTTTGAGAATTTTAAAATGTATTCGTGTTTTAAATGTAATTTTTGTTTAATGTACAGTCGAACCAGGATGAATGAGAGTTCAAGGGATCGTGATATTTTACTTGCTGCGACCATCCATCATCCAGGTTGGTCTATACTGTATAATTTATGATAAATAACAAAGTGTTTTTTAACCAAATTATAATTAATTTAAATCGCAACAAAAAAATCAAAGGATATTTTTCTATAATTCATGATAGGTTTTAAAATAAGACTGGATTCATTGTTATATTTTTATATTCGCAAATAATATTTAGTGAAAATTTTATGTTATCATTTTAATCAATTTTTTACATATGGCAACAAAAATCATAAACACGATGTTGCTATAATAATTTGTTGACTTTTCATTGGTTAAGGATTTTATTTAGTTCCTAAAATTCACAAAAACAACGATTTCTCATTAATTTTATCTCAATTAGTTTTTTTCCTAGTCACAATTTAGTTATCAAATTCATTGTTTTAGGTATAATTATTTTCTATTTGTACTAAAATGAAATATAAAGATCTATAACTTAATAATATTTTATTTGTTCCTTTATTTATATTTAAAAATGAATTTATTTGTTTTATGTATGAAAAAAAAATGTTTTGTTTGTATGTATGTGAATAACGTAATCGGAATTGAATCAATTGTATATTTTGAATAGTAAAAAATGTTCTTTTTAGATGTTCCAATAAATTAATAGAAAATATAATTTTGTTTAATTACGTGTTTTATATAGCTTCTTACTAATATTATAAATGCGAATGTTTTGAAGGATGGTTAGAAGGATGTTTCTTATAAGATACCTTCGCAACGGCTAAATTAATTTCGCTGTAATTTGACAAAGAGGTAGAACATAGTCTGAAAGAACACGGGCTACTTTACTTTAGACCCGCGCGGACGATGTCGCGGTCAACAGCTAGTATTTAATTAAAGCATCGTATAATAAACAATTGTCTTTTAGTCATCCAGAATTAAAATTTAAAAACTTATGATTATTTCCAATATATTTAGTTTATATTAATATTCAAAAAAATATTGTAAAAATTCATATATAAAATCATACTTATTACATCAGGAACATCCCATCTTCTCTTGCCATTCAATGTGCCTTTTGGCGAGGTCTTTTGACACCGGCTTCGTTTTGTCTATAGCTGCTAATATATCTGACACATCTAGACGTTCTTTGCGACCCGATTGACCTGGAAATAATACACAAAAGAATGCAATAAATACAAATTACCCTAATCATTGAACTCTACTGCAATGACATTTGTATACATTTTACTTCGTACTAATATTATAAATGCGAATGTTTGGATGTTTGTTTGAAGGTATCTACAGAACTTGATACAATTTGGTATACATTTAGAGCATAGTTTGGAAGAACACATAGGCTACTAATTATGTTATCAATTCCGCGCGGACCGAGTTGCGGGCGACTGCTAGTAATGTATACAATTGTCACTTATTTGTGTTTATGGCAATGAAAAATATCACAATATGTTTATACTACTTAATTCCAGTGGTAACCATACTTACTCCTCGCCACCATATTAGGCAACATCTTCCTAACATTAGCCATGAGGGCTTCCTTGCAGACCAGCTTTATCTCGCTCCCCGAATACCCTTCTGTCTTAGCAGCTAATTCCTGGAAGTTGACCTTCGGGTAGACCTCTACAGTCCTTACGTTCAGATATGTCTCGAAAAGTGCAGCGCGAGCCTTCTCGTCCGGTAACGGTATGTAAATCCTTTTCTCTAACCGTCGTAACATTGCTGTGTCGATTTCCCTGTCAGCAAAATAATTCGATTTAATTTGGAGCTCTTTAAAAAGTTGAATTATTTTACTACATACTTACCTGAATAATTATAAGTTTCTGACTCCAAAATCTTTTTATATATCATGTCGACATAACTATCGTTACGTTTGACAAAACAGTATAACAAAAGATTTTAAACGACTTTTGGTCTCAGAAACCCACAGTAAATACAATCCAACTATTAGCATAGTTAAAAACAGGACTCGGTAGCGTAATTCTGATTAAAAAGCGATTAGATAGATTTTTGAAAGAGACCTTTAAAAAAGATCCACGCGTTCATTTACCAAGGCATATTAGAGTTGGCGAGCAGGAAGACTAGACCGTCTCGGTCTCTGACGCCGTCCAGTTCGGTGAGCAACTGTGACTTGAGCCGGCGGCTGGCCTCGTGCTCGCCGGGGCCTGACCGCTCCGACATTAACGTCTCCACCTCATCCATGAAGATTATTGACGGCGAGTAATAGAACGCCATCTCGAATAACACCTGCAAATCTTACTAATATTATAAATGCCAATGTTTGTTTGTTTGTTAGAAGGTATCTCTAGAACAGTTGTATAGATCTCGCTAAAAGGCATAGATGTAGAACATGGTCTAGAACAACATATAGGCTACTAATTTTCTTTCTAATTCCGCGCGGACGGGGTTAGTGGCGAAAGCTTGTAAAATCATAAAGTAACGAGGATGGGCAATTTTTCCCCAATATTTTTGGGATATCAGTCAAAATTAATAACTTATATTATTCGAAACATTTGGTAGCACGTGGAAAAGTCTTTGAAAATTTATATATTTATTGCCAGTTTAAAATTTAGCTCGATCGAAATACCTGGACTATCTTCTCAGACTCGCCTCTCCACTTGTTAACAAGCGTACTACAGGCGACGTTGAAGAACGTACACCGGCTTTCCGCGGCGAGTGCGCGTGCAAGCAGCGTCTTGCCGGCGCCGGGCGGGCCGTGCAGCAGCGCGCCGCGCCATGGTTCCAACAATCCAGTGAATACAGCAGGATGTCTGACGTGGAACCAGATTTTTGTGTTGTCATGTCACGTATGCATACATAGACCCATAGGTCTCAGTATTGGATTGCTTCAATTGCTCGAAATAAAAGGTCAAGTGCGATGCATGCGCCAAACTCATGGTAATTTTTGTGTCGATCTGACCCGACTTTATTACATCGATACGGCATGAATGAGTTTTAAAAACAAACGAGGTTCTATATATCGTGCAAATAAAACCAAGAGATATCAGATGATCAAATATAACATAATAATCTTACTAATGATGGATGGATGGATGTTTGAAGGTATCTCCAGAACGGCTGCTTGGATCTCTGTCAAATTTGACATAGATGTAGGACATGGTCCGGAAGGACACATAGGCTACTTATTAAGTTTTTTTTTTATAATACGGATGGAGTCGCGGGCGTCAGCTTGTTCAAAATATAATCAAATATGTCTTATCACCTGACAGGATAAACAACAGATTCTATAAGTATTCTCTTAGCTTCTTCCAATCCTTTGACGTCATCCCAGCTCACCCCTGACGGTCTTATGATGTCCTGGTACAACATATCAACTAGTTGTTTCTTATCAAGCGACATATTGGCCACAAAGCCTGATAAAGGCTTTCTTTCTATCGCTGAAATTGAATTTAAGTCTTCTGGTGGTATGTCCTGTAACAAAATTGTGTTTATGTCATCTACAAACCATGTAAACGGCCAATTTGTAATTTGCCCAGGTAAACAATGACGTGACAAATTGCAATTTGACATGTTTTGACAAATGGCATACAAGTATTTACGATTTGCAGAGATAAATTGAAAAAGGGCGGAGTACACAATTTACCGGTGTCATCATACTAATATTATAAATGCGAAAGTTTAGATGGATGGATGGATGTTTGTTTGAAGGTATCTAAAGAACGGCTGAACGGATCTGAAGTTTGACATAGGCTACTTATTACCATTTTTTCAATCCCTCGCAGAAGGAATCGCGGGCGACAGCTAGTCTATAATAAACTGTCAGGACGAAGGGTACCTTGGGTTTAACTGTAACTAAACTCACGTCTTATAAAAAGTACTTCTGTAAATCAAGGAACAAGTTCAATCGTGTGAGCTTTTCTGAGAACGGAGACATTTGTATTGGAGGGATTAAAAATGTGTTTTTATACAAATCTGACACCAAATTTTATCAGTTTGTAACCTTGAATAACTTGGTGACGGTGAACGTAGCCGGGAGGTCAGGGTCTTCATTGACTTCTGGTTCTGGTGGTGGGGGCCGCGCGGCTCGTGTTGGTGGTCGCGTTGGTAGTAAAGGTCGGGGCTCCGCCACCTGCCGGCAGAACTGCGGCTGCTTGTTGAATCTCATCATATAGTAGCTACAGAAGTCCTGAAACATTAATAAAGTTATATCGGTTACTTAAAAATGAACAAGATATTTTGTGGCTTAGATCTAACGCACACCCTTTTTTTAAGACAAAAAAAATTGAGTTGAGATTTTTTTCTGTAAAAAAATGTTACTTTTTACTAATATCGTAAATTCGAATGTTAAGATGGGTGATATTTCTTGTACATATCTCCAAAACGGCAGAACCGATCTCGATGAAATTTTGGACACATATAGAAGAGAAGAAGAAGAAGACTAGAATTATGCTGATTATTGTAATAAGAATGAAAGATGTACAAAATAGACAAATATGATTGATGTGTCGGCGCGCGGAGTGCTGAAGCGCAACTGAAGGTCGCGGTGTGAGGGCGCGCGGGGCGGCGGGTGAGGTCTGGAAGGGACCCCCGCGCTGCTTCCCCGCCGGTGGTGCAGTAGTACGGAACATATGCTAAGCTAAGGGCAATGCATGAACCGAACTCATGATAATTTTTATCTGGAAACTAAGAAGAATGACGTCATCTCGCCATTACAAAAGCATAACTTTGTATGGCATTGAATTGCTTGAACTGCAGTATCAGCTGAGGAAAGTGGCGTCCGCTCGTCTGACGCGGAGATGCATACTGTGCCAAACATGTCACGGATACACTTAGCATAAAGGTACTTTCACACTGTTTTTTTTTTCTTTTTTTTAAGGGGGCAAACTAACTGATGCCATGGACATCTGCAAGGCCAAAAGAACCGATAATCCTTGCCAGCATTTAAAGGAGGTGCACGATCTTTAATTGTAATTTGTTCGATTTGCTATTGTAAATTTCTGGTGGATAGTATTGTGTGTCGTATCTATAGTCGAAACATGTGTTCTATTATATATTATCTCTTTTTCTTTTTCAGGAAATGATAAGGATGGCAATATGTTTTTGTACAATAGTTAGCAATGGCAACCATCGATTACGTATCATGAAAGGTTTAGAACATTAATTAATTTAACATCAATGATTTTATTATCTTTATTTTTGTAACACAATAATTAATTTGGAGTAGCCTTTTAAAATGAAACTAAAATAAAATTAAAAAGATATCATACGTACGTATTACATCATAAAATGACTGTACATCGTCTGAAACTTTATTTATATTTTATGTAAATTATTATTAAACGTGATAAATATTATATTAAGTGAAAATTAAAAATGACAGTGTGAAGGAGTCTTAATAAAGTTATATGTCATTCAATGCAATTGTTCGGGTCTTCAAGTTTCAACTCTCATTTTATATTGCCAAGTTTTAGTCAAAACAAAAATATTGATTTTAAGTGTTGCTCTAAACTTAATAAGAAAAATAAATTTATGATTCATTTTGTGTAACTAAAGTAACATTATTATACCGTGGGTTTCCGAGACTAAAACCTGTATATAAAACATATCGTCGTCCCTGTCATTATCTTTGACGAAAGAGAGATAACAATATGTTTTAAACACAGGGTTAGTACAGCATAATAAACACAATCTAATAGCTAAAGAATTAATCATACTTAATATTATAATTGCCAAGTTTGTATGGATGGATGTTTCTTTAAAGACATCTCCAGAAAGGCTGAACGAATCTCGATGAAATTTTGCATACATATAAATAGAACATAGTCTGGAAGAACACGTAGGCTACAAATTATTTTTCCTTTTTTAATCCGCGCGGACGTAGTCGCGGACGACAGCTAGTCATTTATATTTTCAAAAAAGACGAAAATAGATCTATATCTATTTTCGTCTTTTGTCTATACAAATAAAAATGTTGTAAGTCATGCGAGAGATGTCATGGCGGACGGCGACGTCCGTTCGCGCGGGAAACGTGTGTTCCGCATGAACTGAGATGCAATATGGAGTCCAATGAACACCACACAGAGAAATATGAGTTATGATGACACATTTTATATTACATACATACAATGTTTACTACTATAAAATAACATTCCATACTGCAAAAAGATTTATTGATATACTAACTGTTGCCCGCGACTCCGTCCGCGCGGAATTGCAAAAAACTTAATTAGCAGCCTATGTGTTCTTCCAGACTTTGTTCTACATCCATGAAAAATTATCGAGACCCATTGAGCCATTCTGAAGATCAAACATCCACCCATCCATACATTCGTTTTAATAATATTAGTAAGAAGTAAAATAATAATTTTCATTTGAATTTAAGTAATTAATTACTCCGGTGTCCGAAAGTGTGTTCTAGCGTCAGACAGAGAGCGCCAACGTCGTCAGATCATTACTTGGACAAAAGAGAGGGAGAGAGAGTGAGAAAGAGACATAAGAGAAAGAGGGAGATAGAGAGATACTTATCTACTTACCCTCGTCAAAAATAGATACGTTGGTTTTATTTTTATAGTAAATTTTTCACATAATATACCTGAAGTATAATCTCTAGATCCATATTATCACATAGCTCGTATTCATTGGTAAGTGCAGCCTCCGAACGAAAGGCTTCCGCGCTGGCTAAATAGCCCTCCTGCTTCAGGAAACCATGCACCAAGTATTTCAGGATTCGCTTCCTTTGTCTGAATAGAGCCTCCTTCTGAAATTGAGAAAAATGATGCCTAGTTATTTGACCAATACCAAAATAAGAGCGCAATTTTATTGGTCGTTATATCGGTCCCCGAGGAGTCCCCGTATGGAACTCAATTGACAAGTAGGGTATGGTCCCTTCGCCATTTCGGCAAATTCAGGTAGCCGTTTGCAGAGCTGGTTTGAGCATTTCTAAGTGCTCTAGGCGAGATTATTGTAGCGCCCCCTTTTTTAGTGTTGGGGGAAATCATCCAAAGATAGGGCATTCATCATATGTCCAGCGCCCTGGACGGTTGCCCTGGCTCGTCCTACCCTAACGCCGCTACTGGCTTGCACGTTAGCCACCTTATAATATAAAAAAGTTTAATACGTGGTAGGGAAAAGTTTGGACTATTAACAGAGTTCACAATATAGTTTCACTTTATTTTCTTTTTTTTCTTTTATAAACAGCACTTTTCTTTTACAACGATCTAATGATATTAAAAATCACACCTAGTATTATTCAATTATTAAATTCATTGTTGATTTTAAGATAATTTTCCACTTTTAATTAACAAATAAAATAAAACTTAATACCGCTTCGAATTTCCGCATCTGGCTCATTGGTCGTTTTATAGATCTCATGTTCATACAAAATATTATTCAGTCACAAATGCAAAACTCTACAAAACTGACATGTGGATGTCAAGGGTTGTTTTTAACGTTGTCATGGTAACCGATGCAGAACGATCTGTGTGGGGGGGTAACAATGACTCACGCTTGTTATTCAATAGGGGTGGACTAACGTTAAAATACTTTTTTACATGTTTATAGATAACATTGTAGCTAATGTAACGATAATTAGTAAAGAAACATGGAAATAAATTCGAAACTAAAAAACAAACAACTTCGCTAGATCGAAATATTACTAAACTAATTAACGTATAAACTCAAAAATAAACGTGAGTGTTTTAGTACTTTATATATTAGTTTAAAAGGCACAAGATTTAATTGTCCTATAAAAATATTTTCACGCAAAAAAAGTGGGCATAGCAAACTGGAAGTCCGTGGCCAGGGATAGACCGAGGTGGAAAAAGTTGCTGGACCAAGCCAAGGCCCACAAAGGGCTGTAGAGCTAGAAGAAGAAGAATAAAAATATTTTAGTATAATAATACTTAAAATTTATCTTATAAGTTAACTAATAAGTCGTATTATTGCCGGGAATAGAGTAGTCGTATAATAAGGTCAATCGTCTTCCGTGTACATTAAGTTACAAACACAACAGATGTGCTATATTCTAGACTTAGATTTTACTAGACTAGACTTAAGAATTAAAGGACCTGATAGTCCTTATCAATTTCTTAACCGAAATAATTTCACAAAAGAAACCTATTTTTGTCAAAAGGAACGAAAATATTGTTTTTTTTTCTCAATCCAAATTAATTTATATTGCTTTTGCGCTTTCGCTATCGTATTATGTCTATGTAGCTTATTATTATTTATTTCTACTTATATAGAAATCCATAAAGTTACTAAACTTTTCTATTTTTCAAAACTTCTCGTAAAATTTTACTATAGGTAGGTTAGTATAATATATTGCTACAAAAATCTTTGATTTACCTTCTCCTCATTATTTTATGGCTCTTTGTTTTATAAAGTCTACATTTATGAAGAGTTTTGCTAAAAAGAACCGGGACAGGAAGGTAGATAACACGCATACCGACGCGACAAATACGACAAAATGTACTTAATCACTCCCACTATATCCCACTTACGATTGTTTGTGCTAAGTCACGTGTTTGTCATATTATTGTTTTCTTTCTTCCTATATTTTAGCCTTGATGCAAGAATATATGCGTATTTATAAAATTTGAGTGTCCGTACCAACATCAGCTTACTATGAGTCCCCACTAAGGGGCTCGCCGTTTACCCTAAGTTAGGTGTGACTTGGCCAGAATATAATATAGTCAACCAGGCTGACCCATTGCGGGTTGACTTCACACATATTTTTAAACAGCTTCGCCGATATGTGCAGCATCATGATGTTTTCCTTCACCACTTCCACTTCCACACAAAAAATGATAGTTGAGATTTTCCACGAAGTGAGCTCGAACAGACCTGAAAGCTGGAGTAAACCCGACGCATTTAACTGCAAATACATAATGTGAAAACTTTTCAATGCAAAAAGCTCGTTAACCGCAACATAAAGTTAGTTCTGTACTAACTTTAGCAATCCGTTATTACTCTACCTGGATGTAGACGTGACTTACTCCTTATTGATTCAAATTACGAAACCGAATAACGGTTTGGTTAATATTCAATAAATATGAGATATTCTCATCGTATTAAAACGAAGTAATAATGAAATTTAAACAGTGGAAAAGTTTCACAAAACATTATATCTGACGCATGAATATAATCAATATCTGCTGGTGAAGGCTTAATTTTAGTTCTCTTTCCCTTCCCACACTTTACTAATAAGGAAAGAATGGGAAGGGAAAATATTCTTTTTACCCTCTTCCGTCGATTAAAGATAGGCAACGCATCTGCAAAAATGTTTATGGCCGATCACTGTCAAAGATATGTGTATCCGCAACCGTAACACAGGATGCGGTCCGAGTCCCTCAATGGGGACGTATAGTGAGCTGATGATGGACCTGAAATCCAAAGTAAGTTTTGAATCATAATGGACGACTTCAGACAATGATGCCACATTTGTTTTATTTATTACTCTATCGATGAAAGTAACTTCGCTATTTCAGGTAGCCGTTCGCCCGTTTGCCACCGTATGATATAAAAAATGAACTTATACAAGAAACTGTAGATATTTGTATTTAGTTCCGTGTGTACACAGCCTTATTCGTGCGTCATCACTTGCGATGTCTCCAGTTGTAATTGAAGCCATACCTCACGGGGCTATAACTAACCGATACCCACTTTCCCGTTTGCCCTCCTACCCGTTCGCCCGCTTGCCAAACGACAGCCGAGACGAACGCGAAGTCACAAACAACTATGCGCTTTAATTAAAATGTCAGCCAAAAGACTGTAAATTCATTTTCATTATAATGAAACAAATCTTTCTGGTGTTTTATTAGTTTTTGGAAAGCTTTAAACGCTAATGTCGCGGAATGCGGAAAGTTAAAGTGTCTTATATTATAAATGCGAATATTTAAATACATAGATGGATATATGTTAGAAGGTATATCCAGAACAGCAGCATGGATATCGCTGAAATTAGAAGAACATGTAGGATTACTAAATTATTTTTTTTTAATTTCGAACGGACGGTACCGCGGGAACAACTAGTGAATTATAAAAATTATAGAGCTATGCATAAATTGAAATTAAAAATGTATCATTATATTATTTTTAAAATGTTAATAAACAACAGACAAACAACAGAGTCTACTAGTATTTGGTGTATGGAAACCAATTTCCGTTAAAGGAAATCAAATCTGCAAAACAGTTTAAGTTGAAGACGACCCACTTGTCACCTTCCGCTCGAATGATTATTGGATTTATGCTAAAACCTTTTATTATTTTGCGGCTTTTTCGGTGGCCAGTTAGTTTAACAAGATAAACTTAACCTAATTTAACGAAAGTTTTATAATCATATTTCATTTGTTTTGAGCAATTGGTTTTTATTCCCTTTTTCGTATTCGTACATTTATTCCTACATTACCTTACTAGTTATTTAAAGACTCCGTTAAAATTTTTCTGCTTATTCTTGCATGTTAAATAAACAAATCTTAAATTCATTATTAAATTTTGATTATACGTAATTGATTGTTAACTTCCTGTTGCCCGCGATTTCACTCGCGTGGAATTCCTCAATTTAGTAAATAGAATAAGCGCTCTTCCAGACTATGTTCTACATCTTTTAAATCTATTTAACCTTTCTGGAGATACATAATAAAAAAGCAATGCATACTAACGCATTATATTAGTAAGATAATTTAGTTATTTTTAAAACAACACGTTATAATGGAAAACAGTACGCAATAGTTTTATACGTAAAGCAGATGACGTTAATTTTGGCGGGAATAAAGAGTTATTTACGAGTTTTGGCGCGAGTCTGTCTCGCGGGAACAGACTATTACAAAAATAAAGCTATTATTTAATAGCGCATTTGGACGCAAGTGATTTTACGTAAATATTATTTTTGTACTCAAACACGTCGCTTGTTGATCTAGTTTTCCAGGATAGTGCGTTAAAAATATAATTTTCTATTATATTTATGCTTTATAACAATAGCAATTTTCTGGATCATCATTATCATCAGCTCACCATACGTCCCCACCGAGGGGCTCGGTGCCTACCCTAAGTTAAAGGTGACGAGGCCATAGTCAACCACGCTGGCCAAGTGCGGGTTGACTTCACACATATCTTTGAATGTCTTCTCAGATATATGCAGGTTGTATCACGATGTTTTCCTGGATCGTTATGACTTAATTTGCTGCTTATATTGTATTTTTAAATATTATCAATAGCTCTAGCGCTTTAAAGCTTTTTAAGGAATAATCAAAAAAGTTATTCAACATCACAGGGGACCGAAGAGCTGGTAGCTACCTCGGACAAAGAATTAGGATAGCTATTCAAAGGGGGAACGCTGCCAGTATCTTCGGGACTTTGCCTAAAGGGATTCCTTTTAATAACATATTTTAGTGAATTATTCGTTATTTTTTTTTTTAATATCATAGATTTAAAACTCATTTTAATAATAGCGTGCATTGAATTATATCGAATTATATCGATTCTGAGAGGATGCATGGAAAGGGAAAATATTTTCTTTCAGTGCATCCTCTCCTCCGTCGATTAAAGGTAGGCAACGCATATGCAATTGCGTATGTCTATGGGCAACGGTCACTTCGCTATTTCAGCGATTTCAGGTGACCGCTCGCTCGTTTGCCACATAATGATATTAAAAAAGAACTGTCAACTTATAAACAACTACTATTTTACAAGTTAAATAAAAGAATTCACATAATTCAACAAAATAAAATCGGAATAAAACAAAATGTAAATATATACGTGTGTATTTATGAATGAATAAATCTGAGAGTAAAAAAAAAAGATAATTTACATGTAATTTTATCGTTTAAAAAGCGTTTAATGTAAACACAATCAATCAAGAGGATACTAAAGACAGATTTATCTGAGCAGCATTCAAAGGAAGACATGAATCACATTACCTAAAACAAATAAAGCCGAAGTTATTACTTCGTATCTATTTTTTAAAACGATTTGTTTTGAAAAATAGTTAAAATAACGAGGTAACCACTGTCTACAGAAATCTGCTATAGAAGGCAAAAAAGGATATTTTCCTTACCTATATTCCTTACTAGCGGTCGATCGGATGCAATCGAGCAAATAAAAATAAAAATAGCCTATGTATTCTTCCAGACTATTTTATTTATTTATTTATTTAAGCTTTGTACACAGTTTAAAGTACATAGTGTAACATTAAATAGAAATACAATGATGTACAGGTGAGCTTAACTCTAAAAGAGTTCTCTTACAACTAACCTTGCGATACAGAGAGGATGTATAGTGGGTAATAACTACATGTGTACAAGTAAACATAACATATATATACTTATAATACATAAACTCTTAAATCTATGATATAAAATAAAATTAAAAAAAAAAAAACCGAAAAATTAACTAAAATATGTTAATAAAAGGAGTCCCTTTAGGCAAGGTCCCGAAGATACTGGCAGCGTTCCCCCTCTGTACAGCTAAACTAATTCTTTGACCGAGGTAGCTGCCAGCTCATAACATAACTATATAAATATTTTCTATATGTATGCTAAATTTCCTAGAGATCCGTTTAGCCGTTTTGGAGATACCTTCAGAGTAACATCCATCTAAACATTCACATTTATAATATTAGTAAGAATAAGGAAACAGTGGAAAGAGGAATAGGACTAAAATGGCAATTATAGAATCAGTACTAACTAATCTATCGTTTCTATAAACAAAAGATAAAAGAATCTTTATGACTCAGTATAAGCCTTAGGTCTGAAGGGCAAGGGCGTCAGTCAGCTGTAGCCAGTATAATCAGCTTAGCTTGTAATCCACTCTCAAACACTTGACACGAAATTAAAACCATAACAGTGCGCAATGTTTACACAAGAATAGACACAAATCCTCTTAGCACTTATTTAATGGAAGAAAATAAATGTTTTCAAAGTGAAGCGCAATATCCCAAGTTCAAAAACTCTAAATCTATACATATAAAAGAAAGTGGTGTTAGTTACACTATTTATAACTCAAGACGGCTTTACCGATATGCCTGAAAATTGGTGAGGAGGTAGCTGAGAACCAGGAGACGGACAAAGGATAATATTTATTCATTTTTTTTACTTATAGTACATGGTCTGAAAGAACACATAGGCTACACTAATTAAGTTTTTCATATTATATATCCACGCGGACGGAGTCGCGGGCGTCAGCTATTTGTTTATTAAAAAACAAAAAAAGACTATGTCATAATGTCATTCAGGAAGGAAAGACTAATGGAATGACAATTTATTTATAGGTTCAGTTGTTTAGGATATAGGAGGTCAGAATTCGTTTGACATATGCGACAAACATTCTCAAAGTCGGTCGCGTAAAAAAGTACTACGCATAAGTAAGCAGTTTTACATAAATGTCTAGTACATTATATATGTTATGATTAATACATAATTAAAATGTAGTATGAACTAGAAACTAAAGGCCAGAAAAATGTTGTATTTTCATATCATGTAAGTTGTAATAAATCGTACGCTACGATGTGAAATGTTTGTATAATTTGGGTCCAACGTTGGCAGGATATGTCCAACAATGCGTAGAGTTCTCTTGTAGCAAATGCGGGCCAGTGCGGCGTGTCTACACTATTTGATTGTAATTATATACAAATATAAGTTAAAGAGAAAACTGCAAATACCTAATATTAAATACTAGGAGCTGCCACTCAAATATAAAGAAGATTATAAACAAGGGTGGCAATACCCTCTTAACACCTAAAAGATTTTTTTTTTAAATATTATTTTTTAAAAATCTGAAGTGCTACGATAAATCGTAGGCGTTAATCTCGTAACGGCTACGTGTCGTCTACGGAGAGCTACAGCGTAGTGAGCGCAGTGCCGCAATGGAGCGGGATGCGGGGGGAGCGCTGCGGGCGAGGGACATGCGAGGAGTTTCATCCAGCAGTCCAGCATAGAACAGCAGCCATGTCGCGCGCGTCGCACGCAGCAGTCGTGTTCGTTCTAACTCTACTCGCCTCACTAGTTGGTGAGTTGCAAATTATTATCGAGATTTTTTTATCGCAGTGTTTTTAATATTTTTTAATTCGTCTTTTTTGTGATGTTTTATTTGTAGTTGTCTGTTGGTTTTAAGTGGGTCTACAATTGTGTAAACACAGGATTTTTTAAGAGTACAGTATATGATTTTTTGGTGTGGTGGTAAAATGCAAATCAATGTGTTTTTTTAAATACTTTCATTCACATTTAAATATTTTCCATTTTCTGTTTGTGTTATTTTTGAAGAATGATAATTAATTGTCTGTTTCCTTGACGATTTAATAATTTAAAACGTTGCAGGGTCAAAGCAACTTACAATTTCATTCAATATTTTACGTTGCAACTTATATAAAAGAAGATTAACACTGGACAACATATCATTAAAAAAATCAAATTAAAAACTGCCCTTTAATGTTTCTTACAAAAAAAAAATATGTTAGCCCTAATAATATACATACATACAATAATTCCATATTAAGAACGGAGTCAGCTAACTGATAACATTTGACAGTGTTTGGATTTCTTGTAGAGATTCTTATCACTCAACTTAGTTACCACGTGTGGCGATATTTAAACTTTTTTTTTATAGGAGAAGGGGGCAAACGAGCAACGAATCGCCTAATATTATTTGATCCGACGCCCATGGATATAAAGTTATAGAAAAACAATGTTGTATTTTAATATTATTAAATGCCTCGTTCTCGACGAAGTCGAACTGTAAATCTGTTTTAACAAAAACACCCTTTGTTATAGTATTATTACTTAATTAGCTGCGCCCTTTAGACTGTAGCCAAGCGGAATGAAAAAAAATATATTAGAAGCCTCTGTTATCCTACAGACTATGTTCTACATATAAGCGAAATTTTAGCGAGATACATGCAGCCGTTTTGGAGATACCTTCTAACAAACATTCATCCTTACATCCAAACTTACGTATTTATATTATAATATAATATTAGTAAGATTTCTTATTGAACCTTAACAGAGATAGAATGTTAGGAAAAAACAAACAGACGATATATTACATTATTCAGCATCATCTTATAGCAGTTTCAGAATTTTTCATTAAAACAAAAACAACCTCTTAGCTTACTTGTACGATGAACTTTCAACTTTCTTGTTAAAGAACGCCTTCTAACCCAACGCGGGGGTGCGGGGGATGACCGTACGGGAGGGGTGCAAGGAATGAGCTGTTTCTTTGTGAAAAGTGTCGTGACGTGACTGCGGTTCCGCGGTCAATAGGGCTGCATCTATCGTGAAAACCACACAAATATTTTTTTTATCTTTTTATTCCGCTACTGTTTTAATTAACAAATAATTTATAGATTAGGTGTCACCCCCGACTTCATCCGCGCGGAATTAAAAAAAACTTAATTAGTATTTTATATGTTTTATAAGAACTCTGTCCTAGATCTACGCTAAACAGATCCATGCAGCCTTTCTAGACCTTCTAACAAATATCCATCCACCCATTCATCCATCTGTACATACATCTCGCATCTTACGTCGCATTTATAATAATAGTAAGGTTTACTCGTAATTTTTATGAATAAATCAGATATGTCAATATAAAATTTAAATTTAATTAAAATTAAATAACAAATTCATGAGTGCCAACCCTATCGTACGTGACAGGACGAGTCCTAACATTAGTCATGCAGATTGTATTTGTGCGCGGTGATTGAAACTTTTGTAGCAATGCGACGTTTATACTGAAAAATGCATTAATTAATTTTGCAACAATAATATTTAAATACTAATTATTTTATAAAAATAACATTTAATATAAAAATAACAGCAAATTGTCAACAATTTAAACTATTCAAATAACAAAGGATACAAAAGATAATGGGCGTTTTTTGGGTTTTTATTACGCATTGCGAGGGATATGTCTAACACGATATCATGCGACTTATCTTGTGCGAGTTACGGCGGGAAAGTAAGCTACAAATATATAAACCGATTGTAAATTTTTACCTTTAAGACCATAAATTGAAAGAAATTTCCTAAGAAACTTATAAGAGCATGTAACTAAAATCTATTTTATACAGTTACGTTTCTTACAACGTCGTTTGTCAAATGCATCTTCTAAGTCGAAATTTTTTGGGTTAAGTGCCTGACCCGGATGCGGGATAAACAAAGCAAGATGAAAAGTATAGCACGCCTTATACTGTACTTAGGGTTGTCAACTTTTCTTACATGAAACATTTATATATTTGTTACATGATTTAAAAAGTATTATTCTATTTATTACTTTATCGCAGACTAACTTTAGGATTCTGTCGCAGGGCAGAATCCTTAAGTCCACATTAGTGTAGATTTAGTATGAGAAATTAATCCTTAAGAATTCTGAGTACTGCAGTAAAAGAACAAAGTTAGGTTATATCAATAATGTGCCTTAAATCGTATAATTCGTTTTGTGTTTTTTTAATATTCAATTTTAAAATGGACCTCAATATTTTTAATAGTACGTTAACTCATATTTAATAAACATAAATAATTCTTCTTCCAATGCCTCTTTAGTCTTGAATGTTGGCCCACTCTGATTCATTCCGGTCTAATGTAAGGCGAAACAATTCCTCCGCTAATATAAAATTAGCCGAAGTTAAACAACTATAAAGTCAAAAATATCGCTAAAACGACCGTAACGAAACGCATTATGCTACAAACAATAGATTGTCATCAAAACAAAACTGAATGTATTTGTGTGGCTTATGTTAGTCATTTTGTGGCAGATCTACTCGAGCGTGAAATGTGGTTTTTATGACAAACTATTAATAATGTTGATCCCAATACATACATAAATTTAAATCGATTATTTCTGATAGTGAGATATTTAATAAATTCGTGTTATTATAACAAGTTGATTCATTTGAATTTACTTTAATACTTTACCAACATAAAGCTGTTGTCCACGACTTTATCCGCGCAAAATAAAACTTAATTAGTAACCTATGTGTTCTTCCAAACAACTATATTTTAACAGTGGTAGAAGCCGCTTTAACATCTTCGCACGAATTGGCCCGGCTCGCCACGACCACACAGAAGACAGGCCTCAAGTGGAAGCAATTCCGCGTTTCGTCTGATGAGTGTGCATCCCGGAGGCCTAATTTAGTCCTCTTTCCGTTCTCACCCTTTTTCTTATAAGGAAAGGATGGGATGTGGAAGTGGACTTTCCGGATGAGAGGATGCATGGAAAGGGAAAATATTTTCTTTCTGTGCATCCTCTCCTCCGTCGATTAAAGGTAGGCAACGCATATGCAATTGCGTATGTCTATGGGCAACAGTGACTTCGCAATTTCAGCGATTTCAGGCCGCTCGCTCGTTTGCCACCTTATTATATAAAAAAAATGTTCTATATCTATTCCATATTTTATCGAGATCCGGCATGCATGGATCTGGATAATTCTGGAGATTTATAACCATCCTTCCAAATAAACTTTCCCATTATATTAGTAAGATTTTAGTAGCTAAATGTTACTTTTTAATTATAAATGTGGAACGTAGATTTTATAAAGCTGCCTGAATTTAGTCAATCATTTTTCGCGTTAACTTCTATCCCTTGTATATTTACAAGAAAATGCATGACCATAGATTTGTCGTATAAATCTTATCTATGATTACTCAATAAGGTCATAATACCCTGACTGATATTCCAATGTTGATGATAAACATCTTTTCATCTCAGATTCATGAAAGCAAATGAATTTAATGGCAATATGTTTGCATACAGTTATTTCTACAGTGGAAACTGACAACATGTTATGTAAACAGACGCACTGAGATGGTTTCTATTGCGTTATACGTTTTATATAAGCGATACAATTTAAATTTAATCATGCAAAATAATTAATTAATCTGTTTGCGTGTCACGAACTCCTTGTACAAAATATTTGATAGTTTACTAGTATAAAAAACTGTAACGACAATTATAAAATAACATTGTTAAAAATTATATTGAAAAGTATGCTTTACTAGCTGTCGCCCGTGATTCCGTCTGCGAGATATTAAAAATATATTAAGTACCCTATGTGTTCTTCAAGACTATGTTCTACATGTGTGCCAAATTTCATCAAAATCCGTCCAACAGTTATGGAGATACCTTCAAACAAACATCCATCCATCCATCTACATATAAAAATTCGCATTTTATTAGAATTAAGATAAAAACTTTCTTGTTTATATACATATATCTACTTATATTATACTAATGCGAATGTTTGGATGGATGGTTGTTTTTTAGAAGGTTTCTTTAAGATGATCTCTAAGATTAGAAATAAGACGTAGATCAGAGCTTAGAAGAACACATAGTAATTAAATTTTACTGTTCCGCGCGGACGGAGTCGCGGCCGACTGGTAGTATTACACCGAGTACTATACATAGTGTTTATGTATACCGTATTTGTATTTATTTAGGTAGGCTCCAGTGATCCATCTCAACGTCAAAACATGTCAAGTTGTCTTACCCCAAATCCTGAAGTTCATTCTGAAATACACAAAAAATAGAAAACCTACATGTCATTTAAATGATAACAAAAACTTTGTTATGTTTTATTTTGGCTGCTAAAACTTTTTTTTTTATATCATAAGATGGCAAACGAGTGAGCGGCCACCTAAAATCTCTGATATAGCGAAGTGACCGTTGCCCATAGACATACGCAGTTGCATATGCGTTACCTACCTTTCAATGACAGAGGAGAGGATGCACAGAAAGAAAATATATTCCCTTTCCATGCATCCTCTCATCCAGAAAGTCCACTTCCATTTCCCATCCTTTCCTTATAAGAAAAAGCTGGGAAGGGAAAGAGGACTAAATTAGGCCTCCGGGATGCACACTCATCAGACGAAACGCGGAATTACTTCCACTTGACGCCTGTCTTCTGTGTGGTCGTGGTATTTCACCGGGCGAGCCGGGCCAATTCGTGCGAACATGTTAAAGCGGGCTCTACCACTGTTAAAACTATAGCTTTGTCCTATCATAGATTATTTATATAATTTCCTGATATAAAAATATATACGAAATACGTCAATTTGTGCTAACTGTCTAGAGAAAAGACATAAATAGATATTAAACAAGAACATATTGTTGTTTAAAATAGACACGTCTGTATAAACGTAACCGCAACCTAATATTGAATTTGTGTCGTCCGATATAAATGCTATAAATATTATCAAAGACGTCAAACATCTCTAATAATAAAGACGAAAGACGTATTAAAAGATTGAATAATAAATGTATCATTAGTAACTAAATAAGTATTTGATTAAATTTGATATATTATTAATTTTTATAACCTTATTATTCATTTGTCTTTTTTAAAACCCTGTTGTTTTTTTTGTTTTCTTTTTGTTTCTAAAATATGAACTTCTTCAACTCATTATGATGGGCAAAATCGCATGCAGAAGACGAGTTAGACGGAGGAGAAAGTCGTGGCTAAGAAACATCCGGGAATGGACCAATATTGCCAGCGTTGAACAACTTTTTCGCTTGGCACAGGACAGAAAAGGGTTCGCTGGGCTGACGGTCAACCTCCAGTAATGGAGAGGCATTAGAAGAAGATTTGTTTCACAAAATTAGAATGTTCTAATTTTAAATTGTACGCTAAAGAAAAAACTGTTTGTGCTTTCAATAAATTTCATTATATTATTTTAGGAAAAGCTTAACACGTTAAATGATATAAGGATTTTGTTTTCACTAAAACAGCGCGATTTAATGGCACTGAGCGTGTTAACCAATTAAATTTAGTTTAGTAGTAAATTATCAACATAATCTATTAGTAATTTGCCTTTACTAGTTTGTTATCCGATGTCTCAGTGAATGTGTCCTAAATGTTAAGTATTTAGTATTGTCAAGTATTAAGTATTATTTGCGAAGTATTAAGTATTATTTTGCATGTGTGTACAGAGTGCATGGAGGAGGGCTGCACGGACTTTGAGGGCAAGCCGGTGGCGCACGGGCTGCTGTACGTCCCCGGACCAGGAGCCTGCTCGCTCTGCGTCTGCTACCACGCGGAGCCGATGTGGTGCAAGGCCATCTACTGCGACCCGCCCTACGTCAGTATCCATTTGAACAAGCAACTAGAAAATATCTACATCCACAATCTGAATAGTTGATTCACCAACACTACTTATTTATTCACTAGCTGACGTCCGCGACTCCATCCGCGCTGAATAAAAGAACTTAATTAGTAGCGTATGTGTTCTTACAGACTATGCTCTACATTTGTGCCAAATTTAATTAAGATCAATGCAGCCGTTCCGGATATACACTCTTACAAACATTCAGCCATCCACCTAAACATTCGCTTTTATAATATTAGAAAGATTTGGTTAGTTCTTTTATGGAGCTCTAACGGACTGCGGTTAGTTGCACAAAACAAAAGACGATCTTTAAGGAAAAAAATATTTTCTCTTCCCCATCTTTTCTTTAAAGGAAAAATATATTAACAGAGTTAATGAATACTTTACATAACCTTAGGCTTCTTACTTTGCTATATTGTTATTTTTAGCATCGCACACTATGAACGCAATCAATTATTACCGTCATATAACCAGAGGCATGCCGCTAAAGTATTTCAAGGTCATATTCAGCCTTTAATATCGAGCGCTTGAAAGGACCAATTGTCCTACTTAGGAAATCGCTACAGACAGTTTGCGGAATGATTACCATATCCATAAGCATCAGTTATGAGAAGCAATCGTGAAAACTGTTTAGCTTTTATGGTATCTTAGTCCTTAAACGAATTCAATAGATAAATTAAATATGTAAGAGATAAAGCAGGGAAAATGTATATGAAGAAAAAGATCCTTCGTCCAAAGCAATTTGTCGCAGACGTCTGGACAGCGGTTACTACACAGTTTTAGTGAGCGGTGGCTTATTAGTTTGATGCGTTATACCACCAAAAAATTTTGCTAGTAATCCTCATTTACTTTTGTTTACCACTAGGGAGAGTCGACACAATATATGCATGTTTTCTATAATAGTAGTATTGAAATGTGTTTTCATTTCATTTTCTTTCAACAGTTCTGTAAGAACTTTCGCGTTGGAGAGCGGTGTTGTGAATTCGAGTGCCTGGACCCTCCGGGTGAAGATACACGCTACCGAGAAAGGCAGCGGCTGCGCGCGCTCATCCTGGCAGGCAACTCATCAGCTGTCCAGCTCAGACCATCGCTTAGACTCCGAGCTGGTATCTCCCTGCTGGCTGTAGCAGTTGCTACACTCGTCTGAGACAGGAAACATTGAAAGTATGAGAAAGTATAGACAATAAATGTCACAGAATAATGTGATGTACAGATCAATGATGAAACAATTTAAACTCATCAGAACATTTTGTGTTTTGAGGTTACTTTTTGTTTAATCTTAAAAAAATAATGACATTTATTTCTTCACTTTATTTGGAAAATTAAAGTTGATATTAATTCATATTTATAAAACTCAAGAAATATTTTATACATCTGTTTTAATTCACATATCATCTTGACGAAATTTATATGATTTCTTATGTAAGTAACAATGGCCGACCAATAAATTGCATGAATATTGTGACCATAGACGAATTTATCTACATTACAGTTAGATTAGTCGATGTGGTTCATTAAACGGTCGTGATAAATGAAAATAGTTATAACTTCTCTCATACGTTCTTTAAATTCCAAATGCCAAATATCCTATAATACCACTTTACCTCTTGCTGCTAAGTCAAATCTATAATAATAAGACACTTATTTAGAAATTTTGGATTTCCTAATATTTCTGCAGATAATAGCTTTTAATTAAATTACCTTTCTTATTAAAAATATTCTTGGTTGTTAAAAAATTACAATAAATGCAATAAAAGTCCACTTATGCTGTTAGACAATATATTGAATCGCTGTCCAAATATTGTAAATTTATCGTCAAAAATCTTATGTTTTACATATATAAAATTAATTAATATTTAAGAACAGTTTCTCGTTCAAAAATAGCAATAATTATTATTTTTACAACTGGCAATATTATTTTTTTCCGCCATTTTTGACGTACATAAAATGCTTTCGTTTCCCGCGCTAGGTCCCGCGTTGTGAATTCTTCAAAGATAATAAATAGGTATATTATGAATTAAATTGGACCAATTTTATGTAACCGAATAGCCACTGTGATGTTTATTTCTGTAAAAAAGCCATGTGACAAGAAAACTTTTCATTACAAACTTTCGTAATACATTTACGAAAGAATTGTCATCATAAGAAAATAAAGTCTTAGAAATTTCTACTAAAATTAATAATTTGCACATAGAATTTTGTCTTTTAATAATTATAAATAGGTTACAAAGGTAAAAGGGAAATTCATAACAATAACTAAGGCTTAGTACTAAAAGATAGTCCAAAGTGTAGCATTGTGTCCACAAAACATAGCATCCATTTCGCGATTACTTCGACTTTTTGAATTTAAAAATTGTCTATGCCAAAAACCTTCTTTTTTAGTACTTGACTTGATGTTTATGTATTTAAAAAATTTAATTCTTTTTCAAAAGATATCCAACTAATAGTAGTTAGAAACATTTCAAATTATAGCTTTAAATAACTAGATCATATCATCAGCTAAATAGAATTTAATGTAGTGCAAACACTATGATATTATCACTGATCTTTGATTCCATTGGATAGGCTATGAGTCTCGGTATTTAGTGCCTATTTGATTGTCGCCATTTTGTCGCTAGCGGTTGGTAGCGGTTTTGGAAACTCGACCTAATAATAGAGATCGAGTAACTTCAATTGGTGCATTCGAATCGGATTGAAGTTAAAGCTATAATTTTCAAACAGCGACCTATCCAGTGGTATATCTATATAGATCAGTGTATAATTCGTAAATATAATATAATGTAAAAATATTTACACCTTTATGTATACACGTGACTTTTAATTATTCTTATAAAAAGAGTCACAGAATACTTATTTAATTTCACTATAACTAGTAGTAATTAATAATTTATGAAGTAAAACACTATTTTCTCAGTCTTTTCACGTTATAAATAAATTATACATAATCTATATCACTTATGGCCTATTAAAACTACAAAATTATTTTTTACTAATCCTACTTATACATGTAAAAATTAATTTTATTATTTAAAAAATGTTTTTATTATATAAAATCATTGTAACGTATTTAAAGAACACGTTTTGTTTTGTATATTTTTTACTCTTCATCGCAAAAATGTCAAAAACTTTAAAATAATTGTGATATCATATTGGTTGTTATATTTTGCATGTAATTAATATATTAAATAATTTAGCTTTAAAGTTTAGATTTAAGACATCGCAACCAATAGAAAACAATAACAGTTTTATCTCTACTAAAACCTAAGCTCCTGGGCAACATTTTTACGGCGCCCGCTTTTTTTACCATATGTGAGACTGTAATTCTCTGACTTGGGCGCCTCTTTTTGTCGCCTAACTGCGCCCTAACGCCGGCCTTGCCAAAAAATTTAAATGTTGTCACACCTGAGTATATTCGGCATCCCTCATTATGTCTTTGAATAAACAGAGACAAGAATATGTGTCAGTACATGTCAATTCTTAATCTGTTTTTTTTTAATATTTTGAGGATGGATGAGGGACAATACAAGTCTACGACAAGTCTCACTTCAACATCAACTAGTTTTTGTCTTGCCTTTTACTCGACTTCAAAAAGAAGGATTAGGATATTAAAGATAGAATTTAAGTATCACAAGCTGTGTAATTTTATCATAATAATTTATGAAATATAATACGTTTTAAATTGGAATGTTCTCAATTAATAAAAATATTTAATTTTACATTTGTATTAAAAAAAATAAGTTATTTTAAACGACTTTTGACTAATTTTGGAAATAGATTCTAAGCCGTTAACGAACATATTTTTGTTTGAAACGTATTTTACGCGCCTTTATTTTTTCAGAACATTTTGATTGTTTTTTTTTTGTATGCATGAGACGATAATTGTAGTTGTCAAATATGTTCAATATTAATTTATCAAATCAATATATTTTTTAATATTATAAGTATTAAATTAAATTAGTACATATATTAAATTTTACGTAAAAATATTTATAATTAGCTCAATTAAATACTAATTCAATCCAATACATTTGTTTTATTATACATATTTAATAATGATTTACGCTAACTAAAATTAATTGATTTGTTTACTCAGGAATACTACAAGAAAATCTTGAATAATGCATAGACGTTGTGTCAAATGAGTATCGACGGTCCCTCCGTAAACTTAAGTAACTGTAAAAGCCAAATTTTACAGAAGAGCACTTTAAAAATTTAGTAATTTCGAGTTTTATTTATTACGCAGATTTTTGATAATTTTTTTTTATTGGTTAGTGCAGTTTTATTTGTTACATAAATCCAAAAAATGAGAAAATGATAAAAAAAATTGGTTAAGTAACGATTATTATTTTTTACGTTTACAGCGGAAAAAATCAAAGTAAAATTACAAGCTAGCACTTACTGTATAATACGTGGGCACTTCTATCGATTGTAGAAAGCTTAAATAACTTTGAGTAAGACAATTAGTAATGATAAAGCTAACTTTAAGGTTATAAAAGCTATGTTAAGTAATAAAATGTAAGAAATATGTATTCTGTACATTAGAATTTTGAATTGTATATAATTAGATGTAATTTTACACGCAAACATTCGTGACTTGGTGTGTCGCGCACGCAACACGAATCAAATCAGAGCTATTCACCTTTTTATCCTTTACACTTACGAACATTTAACCTGATTTTTTAAACAAGCTCAACATTTTATTACATTGTATTTTCTGAAGATCAAAAAATGGAGATCAGTCTACGTGATTTTTTAATCTAAATTTTAATTAATCAAATAATTCAGGTTTCTCTTGATAAACGAATTATTTTGTATTAAAAAGTAAATAAAAGATAATGTAATCATTGTTTTTTTGTATTCGAATCTAGTACTTTTCGCAAATCGTTACTTTAAAGAAGTTACACAAATTATGGCCTTAAATTTTTTTGACTAAAATGTAAAAAACATTTCACTTTAGTTAAATGATCATAAATTTTGTTCGGTTAATTTTTCACTGCCGAAACCTTCCTATTAGTCTATTGTTCCACTTTTGCGATGGTTTATGGATGATTGAAAAATCATTTTTATAAAACGTCCTTATCAAATGAACTCAATATAGGCACCTATTGTGAAAAGTTAAAAAATGTGTTCGTAATTAATTTGGCACCGCACTTGGCCAGCGTGGTTGACTATGGCCTAATCACCCTTAACTTAGGGTAGGCTGCGAGCTCCTCGGTGGGGACGTATAGTAAGCTGATGATGATGAATTCATTTCAAAAAGATTTTTTTTTTAATGATTCGTGCGTGCGGATAACACTATGGGGTTTCACGGAAGATCAACGCTGTGTGGTCCAGAGAGGAACACCCAGCATACAAAGCTGAGTGAAACCTTATCCGGTCAGCATTGCAACACTCTTTGTAAATATTTCTTGTTTCTTATTAATTAATGTTTTATGTGTTATTTCTTTATAATTATTTTTGTTCTGTTTTTGCTTATTGAAAGGAATAAATGTTATTTTATTGATTTTTAAATAATGGAACAAAAAACGTTAATATAAATTAAATTTTTATTCATATTGGGTATAACATACTTAGATGCAAAAAATTATCGCAGCCATTTTTTTTAACTATCTCCAAAGACTTTTTAATATGTTCTTCTTTCTCTTGAACTGCCACTTCGACGAACAGCTTACTTATGTTATTAAAACAATTCATTAATATGGATTAAAAAAATACTTTTGAGTTTTTTTTTTCATTTTGTTGCCAGTTTCCTTATTTTTATTCTTTTAGCAAAAGCAGTAAATGTTTAATTTCATCCGCAAACATAATTAAACTTTTCCCTTTAATGTTTTCAAGTGCATCATTAAAAAAAATAGCCTCGAAGAGCGCTCGAGAATTTAAAAGCTGGAAATATCAGTGTACTCATTACAATGGAAATGTTTGCAGAACGAGATTTACGCTGCAAGGGAATTTGCATATTTATAAATCTAAATGTTCGCGCAAATTGTTAGCTGTAACAAGCTAAACTAGGTTTCATGTTTATGTATTGCTTTAATTCATTTGAAAGTAAGATTTATTTGTTTTTGGAATTAATTTTAATTAGTCAACGTTAGACTTCGTAAGTTTGAAGTTATCTAAAGCAATGACTGTCAATCACGCTGGCGTATCTTTGAACTACTATACAGATACGTGCAGATTGCATCACGATGTTTTCCTTCACCGTAAGTCCGTTGAATAAATGAGACAATCTCTTAGTTCGTACTTCAATTTTAGTGACAAAAACTATTTTACTCTTACTATATGTT